AGTTTTTTTTTCAGTAGGAAATAAAAGATTTGCAGAGATTTGTTTATCAAATGAATGACCGATTGAGAGAGCAAGAAAAGTACACCCGGACAGACAACGTTCTAATCAGAAACTCGCCTTTTGACGTTCGAGACGAAAAATTTCTGGGTCGAAATGTTGCGAATTTTTTTGTTGAGTTTTTGAAAATCGAGTGTTTTGATCGTGGCGGTTCGAAAGCATAACTCTATGTACCAAAAAGAAAACCTCTTCCATATAAATTGATGCCTACAGTGTGGAAAATTTTCAAATATTTCGACATAGATTTTTTGCACAAATGGACGTCAATTGTATATCGATGAACTTCTTTTACCAGAAGAAGCAAAATTGAAGCGGGAGACTGATGAAAACTGTAATGTAACATCGGCTACAAAATTTAAAATGAGCGTTCTGTGCAAAAGTAGAGATGGGAGGGAAGTGCTTGTTCCTATCAATTAGCAAACTGATATGGAAAAGCTGAAAAACCCAATGAAAAAGGAAACAGCATTCGCAGCGTAGAGCGAGCAATCGATAAATGCAGTATGAACTAAAAACAGAGACGAAAAGTTTTCTGCATATAAATGAATAAAATTAGTTCTTTATGAGGTGGATAAATGGAAAAAAATAGCCAATTTGATAAACAGTGGTATTAAACTGTGAAAAGTTGTTGGAATGAAATAATTTTGAGTTTCCTCTTTAAACAGAGCAAGCATATGCTTTTGTTTCTTCTCTATTTTTGACAATGAAAAATGCCCGCAAGTAAAACGAAAATAGTTTGAAAAATTTTGATTCCCATTCATGATTAATGTTGTGTATGTAAATTAGAAAATTGTAGATGAGATTTTTCTGCGATGCTTTCTTTTGTGACTTCTTCGTGCAGAGTGTTGAGTTTTCCCTGCCCTAGGCGACAGAAAAGCCGCAAAAGAATAAGGAACAAAGAGGTTAGTGATAACTCAAAAAGTCAGAGTGGGAGAAAAAAGTGGAAAGATGAAATTGTCTGCAAATTTTTTTGAAAAACTAGGGAATTAGGATTTTTGAATCAGCAATTTTCTGAGTCAGTCGGAGAAAATCACAGAACTTCCCAATTAAGTGCTTGAATGGTTTGTGACTTTTTGTCGGCTAACCAGGTTTAACTCTACATATGAGGTTACAACTATAGTTAATTGTAAGTCTTTGGTAGGTTAATTAGAAAAAAAATGCACTAGCTTTTCCTGCATGAAAATGGTAAATCAACCAAGTATTTGTTTACGGTATTTGAGATCAATCATACAAAATTTCCCATTTTTAGAATTACAGCTTGAAAAAGGTAACACAACTTGAGTTGTTAGCGCTTTCAGAAACATGGCTGTCTGAGAGCTCCCCGAACAAAGATTTCAAACTACAAATGTATCAAGAATTACTTTTTTTACATTAGAGCAAGGAAAAGAGGAGAAGTAGGGCTTAAAGTCAAAAAAAAAAGAAATAGATTTTTGGCGGAAAATTTGAAACTGGCCAACCTTAGATTTTGACGTTCAAGAAAAGATTTGAAAACTTTGAAATTTTTTACGGTTTTGTACAGGCGCCCAAATGCCAAAATAGACAATTTCTTTGAAACTTTAGCTATGCATTAGCTAGCCTGGAAACCTGACCAACTGACAAAAAATTTTTTGTGGAGATTTCAACTTCGACTGGTGCACAAATGGGAAAAAATGCAAAAATAAACTTGCTCAGTTATTACAAAGTTTTGATATTTTGTACCCTGGAGAGCTTCTAATTATCCGTGTTTGCGGCCTATCACTTCACAATATCAGCGTACAAATCTGAAAAAGTGACAATAAAGCGAAAAATAATTACTTGGAAATGAAATTAGGAAAGAATCGGGTTTTTCAAAAACAGGAAAGCTATTTTTTCAAAAAAAGAAAAACCTTGAAACAAACGGACAAAAAGTTAGAATCGCATTTTTGGCTTCCAAATGAAATGCAGACAATTGAAATTAACATCGAATATTTGGAAATCAATCCAGCCTTTCTATGCACGAACGGGGATACAAAATGACGAAATTTTTACAAATTGATGAAAACATTATGAAACGAAACTTCAAAGCAGCCAGTTGAACAGTCCTTTTTGTCTGCGAACCAGTTGAACAAGTATTTCACAAACATTGCAGAGAAAATGGCTGAATGTCATGAAGTTTATAGGGAAAATTAAAAACAAAATAGGTTTTTTAATGTTATATTGGCTATTAAATGTTTTGCTCATATGCTCATTTCCAATTCATTAACTCTTCTAGAAAAACAGATCAGAAAGTTTTGGACTAAAAAAATAAATGAAAATTGAACTTGTTGTTCTTCGATGGGGTCTGATTGGAACATTCTGCGCTATTTGCATGGCAACCAGGTATCAATTTTTGTTTATTTGTTTGAGCAGTTCCAAGCAAACGTTTTTTCGACTTCCTTGAATGTCAAAGTCTGCGAATGTCATCTGGCTAATTAAATTTTTGTAGACAGAAGGTGTGTATGAAGTGATGCAAATATCACAAAAAATTGCGTGGGCAAAAAAACTATCAGAAATACCTGACTCTAAAGGCAAGTTTCTGTGGATATTTATACCAAAAAATCGACATATCTGTGGTGAAAAAATTTTGATATATTTATGTCCAAAATAATGAAAATTTGTCCAAAATAATGCTAAAAGTGTCTTTTAATCTTGATTTAATTCTAAGGTTCGCGTAAAAAGACAACAATTGACAACAATAAGATTAAGCACCCTCATCGGGGCATGCAGTGATGTTATATCCCGATACAGCGCCATCAAAGATCTAACGATTAAACCCAAACTAACTGGTAAGCATGTCCAGTTGGATATCCAGTCTCAAAAAGCCGACCAGAAAATCAACAAACGTCACCACGTACAATATTCTTGCAACACCAGAATATAAATTATTGGTCATCAGAGACACCAGACTACATGGTAACACCCCAGGTATAAACAAAAGAAAATAAAAGTAAACAACGGGACCACGGAGAAGAAAAACATGAAAAGGACAAGAGAACCACAAGGAGAGAGGAGAATGAAGAAGTAAAGGAAAATAAGAGTGATCAAAGAAAACTCATCAGAACAAAAACTACAAAATCTTTGACAGTCGGGGAAATTTCATTTAGAAGGACTATAGGACTATATGAACATTTATATAGATGGATAATTTATACCAACTGGGGTTTGTGTGTCGCAACCTTTATGTTCACCTTGAGTAATATGAGAGCAACTGTCTACGGACAAACAAAATACCTTGTGCTCGACTTAAAATCAGTTCTCTTGTTAGTTTTTTCTAAATTTTTCTCTTCGAACTTGAATTAAGACATTCATCAATATTTTTCCTGACAGCTGAGACTTCAGAGTTATGTACAGTTGATTCTGCAATGTTGCCCCGTATGAAAAGATAGTGAGGTGGGTTTCATTTCCTGTTTTGCAGAAAAGCACATAAAATTTAACCAATTTGTAAGGAATTAACTTTTTTTATCGCGAAAAACTGTTCTAGCGATGAAAGCTAATAGTTCTGGACAACTTAGCAAAATATAGACCAATCAAGCCGGGTTTCAGCAGACCGATCCGGTGGGATTTTACTTACCCAAACTGTTCAGGCTATAAATGGGGTTTGTTGTTTCGCCCACAGAAAGTTTGTTCGGATGGATTTCAGTTTTTATTTTACGCAAAATCAGGTGCCAAAACTATCATTAGTCAGAATGGGTGATATATCATATTTAAAGCCCCTTTAATTGTAGTTTGAGCTATTTGGGAACACGTGTAGGCCTTCGTGTGGCAGTGCTGTATTGACGAGCAGTCCTGTATATGACGACTATAGCTACATGCACATTAAAAACACACTTATACAAGATTGTTCTACTACTTGCATCTGTCCCTCAAAAAAATCTGTGCCAGCAAAAAATCCTACAAAAAGTGCTTTTCTAGGTCTGTTTTTTTTTACTGTTCGCATAATTCTTTGACTGTGCTCGACCTGTGTTTCGACTGTGCTTGACTCATATTTTGTTTGTGCTGGACATGTTTCGACTGTGCTCAACCTATGTTTCGATTGTGTTTGACGTATGTTTCGATTTACTCGATCAAAATCGGGTATGTATCAACTGTTCTCGAATTATGTTTTGATTGGGCTCGACCTAAATTATGTATGTTTTGACTGTCCTCAACTTATGTTTCGACTCTCTCGGCCAAATTTCGGGTGTGTTTTAGATTTGTGCTCGACTTAAAATTGCTACTCGAACGCGGAATTTCAGTCGCAAAACTGCGCGTGCTCGACTTTGAGAGTCGAAACATAAATCGAGCACCTCGGTTCCAGGTATTTTTCAATTTTGTAAAAAGTTCACCCTCTGTCGAGAAAAACCGGTTTGAAGTTTTTGATTTTCAGTCTAATTTTGAGCGAGTAAAGCGAGCATGTGTTACGTTTAATTGATTAAATCGGTCATTTAAGATGTAAAAAATTTAGTTTCGTTTCTGGAAAATAGAAATTTGCGCTTCTTTGGCTATAAAGATTTTTTTGATTCAAAATAAAATCTACAAAAAAGTAAGATAATACTTAGAAGGCACAAACAATACAAGTTTGACAAAAAATGTATTTTCTATTTGACAAAAAAAAACGTTTTTATATCAAATGTGGTCGGAATTTTAAAGAAAAAAAAAACCTTTTTTTTGTAAGAATGTGGTCGAAATTTTTGGTGTTATTTGTATAGCTACCGGCTACTCGGACTCAGAAATAGCATGTGGGCAGTGGCGTGTGCAGAAGTTTTTGTTGAACTTTTTCAAGGCAACCAATTTTATTTTCCGAGTTCACGAAAAAATACTATAAAGACTCTATTGTATTCAAAATTTATGTTCTGCGCCGCTGGCAAATAAAAAAAACAGGCTAAAATATGATATGGACTCAAGTAGTTTTCAAATTTTGTTTCGCATCAATCATGTAAATCAATGGTAAAAAAAGGTTTTTGACTTACTTTTGGGTTTTGAGGAAAGTGGTTGTCTTCTTTCTGTAACCAATATGATGAAGTTTTGCTCGTTAAATGTAAAATTTTTTGACTGATTCTTCAAAGTAAATAGAAAAAGATGCCAGTAAACTTGAATTAGATCAAAGTTATATTAATAGCAGGCAAGATTAAGCCACGCGACAATCTTTGAGTCAAATGATGGTGAAAGCGGCGAAATGGAAGCTATAGAGCCGTACCAGTATTTGCTCAAGTTAATATAACTTCCTGATTTTCTAAAGCTTTTTTCTGTCTCCAATTTCTCAATCGGCATTGGAAGTTTAATTTCGGAGGCTTTTCCCAGATATTGAATAAATTTCAATTGTAATTCTTGTTTGCTTTTCTTGCTTTAGAAGGGCAAAGAATACAAACAAGTGACGAAATGTTCTTTACTTTATTTTTTTTGCTCTTAAGTTAACCTTTTTCTGTATTGGAAAAAAAACAGACAAATTATTTTTAAAAATGGAAAAAAAATGAATTTTATTCAATTTCTTTTGACTTTTGGGAATCAAGTAATTTTTCACTGATTTTGTGACAATATTTAAAGTTTATCAAAAATACCCAATCGCATACTCGATCAGCATATCATATGCTGATTAAAATTATCCGGAGAAAAATAACGAAATTGGAAGTTTCCAACGCATTTTTATTCAAACTGGGTTGACATTAATTAAAATGTGATGACATCCTCGTATTAGAGAAAAAAATTACATTGAATTATCTAGGTTGATAAAAAGATAATAGAATATGGCATGATAGGCGATATTATGAAACCCATTTTTTTAAGGTTATCGACTTCAACGGTTTTCTTCTGTCGTTAAATAGATAGCTTTTTTAGTGTTTAACGAAAATACAATTGAATCGTTTCAAATTTAATCTATAGACAATTCGTGTATAACAAAAACCATTTATATTGTATCTTTTTATATTTTAGTATATTTAAGTATATTTTATAGACAAATATATCGATCAGTTTTAAGACTGAGAAAAACCATAAAAATTACTACAAAATCAAGTTAAAATCAAGTTATTACTACAAAATCAAGTTAAACAAAGTCATAAAACTTGAGAAAAACGCGTCGTGAAATTTCAGTATTGATCATTTTGTCCTCAAATTTTGATGGAGCGCTTTATATTGTTTTCAATGAAAAAAAATCGAAAAAAAGTTATGGAACATTTGTACGGGTGTGGTCTTTTTCTTCAGACAAATGTCGGCTTTCTAACAATTCATTTTTGGATAGAGTTTTTGTACCATCTGAAAGGTATTGACGTTTTGAGCAAAATTGTTTACAAAATCATTTGTCGTATAGTTTTTGGGGTTGCGAAAACAGGCAATTCGGCCAATTTGGCGCAATTAGAGCGGGATATACTTTGTGCTATTAACGCGTATACGGCTATTTAATACGGCTCAAAATTGTTTTAATTTAAATGTCAATGGTACTTTAGTATAAAAAATTTGTTTTCTGAAAATATTTCACTCCTCATTTGTTGATCGAGTGTAATTTTTAATCATGATAAAATGAAGCTTCAAATTTTTTTTGGGTCTTTCCAATTATAGTCCTCCGACTTGATTTAGCCCTCTCCGTGATAATAAAAAAACAGTGTGGTGGGGCTATATATTTTTCTGTTTTTGAGCTTGGTGGGTGTGTGTGTGTGTGTGGGGGGGGGGGGGGGGGGGGAGCAATATCTATATTTTAAAAGTTACGCTCATATAAACACTTAATTTCTAATTTTACCAATATTACAGCCCAACAAGTCGTGTTTAATGGTAAGCTTTTTTGATTTACTTGCTTGGTAACTTTTTCAACAATCAACAACATTAACAGGAAGATATAACCATAAGTTGTAGCGGAGGAAACTTACCGCATTCAAATAGAGCTTTCGACCGTATTTTCTGTTTGAAGCCACCCAGGGTTTTGCGCAAAAGTATCAGCGAATCGCCCAACTTAAGACTTAAAAGAAGGGAAATAAATAATTTGATTATTTCTGTGGCAAATAAAAAGCAATATGTATGAACATTTGCAGATCGCTGTTTGCGTTTATTGGACAGGTTCTCCTTCATCCGTGTTTTCGTTTACGACAATCAAAGGGAATTACTCGGCAATAAACTACAGAATATCTATCGATCTCCTCGAGGGTAGAGATGTGAAACGGGAATGGGAAAATATTGCATGAAAATTGCACGAGCGTGAAACAAAAATGCAGCAGTAAAACTTGCAGCCCCCTCCCAGCCTAGTAGCAAAAAATTACAATTACTGTCACTTTTGTACAATGGAAGCTATAGCTTGTTGGGGAGGGGGGCTGTAATTGGAAAGAAGAACAGTCAAGTTCACTAGTTGTACGACCGAAATGAGGAACAGGAGAAAAGCCGGGCTTGGAAGGGGTCATGTTCAAGTTAATCCATTTTTTAAACAAATTCTTTGAAGTGATACTTTTTGAAGTATCCAGTCAAGCTCCTGGTTTTTTCTATTTCTCACCTTTGATTTTTTTCTGAAATAAGATTTTAAGTGACTTTAGATGTTCTAAACTGTAATAAAATACAATGTCAGCGAGAAAAATTTTCTTTCAAAATTGCTTTTCATCGACAAAATTTCTTTCATCAAAATTGCTGTATGAGCAAGTTTACTAAAAAAGAGTGGGAAATTCTAAAAAAAACATGCTGCTCGTTGAGCTCACGACAGCAAATAAATGTACATTCCAAACTCTCCGCCCTCTTAGAATTACAAATTAAAGTTGTCTACAGCAATTTCCAGGCTAGAAAAGCCTTTCAAATGTGACATGTTTTAAAAGGAAATACTAAAGTAAACAAGACTGCTCGTATATCAGGGTAAAGCAGAATATTCCGACTGTTTCTTAATCCAAATCGAAAAATTTTTGGGAGAAGAAAATTTTGAAAACCTATAAATTTTGAACAATATCAAAGTATGAAATTTAGCATAACTTTGTCCAGAACATGGCCAATTTGGCAGTTTTCAAGCCACCAGAACTTAACAAAAAATAATCGGAGGTAAAATATCTTTTTAATTTTGAACTCAGAAAGTAGTTTCTTCAATGGAGTATAAAAAAATTTGTTGAAAACTGTAATTGGATCGGCGAAAATTGACTGAATAACAAAAAAACCACACCGAGCATTAATTTTCCAATTTGTTCGAAAATTGGAACAATTAGTAATGGTAGTTCTTCGTTTTACCTAGCTAGCATCCCGAGTTTTTTAAGCATGCTTATATTTGAAATTAGTTTAAGCAGCTCAAGTTGCTATATATGCTCTTCGTTTGACAACATGCGACTGGTTTTTCATCTGAACCTTTTTTTTCCGACTTTCCTAACGAAAGTAACGGAATATATGTGCTCGGGTGGGTTTTTTTTTCAAACAGGTTTCGACTTTTTAACTAGCTACTTTTGACAAATTTTTCTTTTATCTTTCAAAATGTATTGTTGTCCTGAGCCTAAATTTGAAAAAATACTTCACCTGTGATCATTTTTTGTTAACTTATGGGGGTTTAAAGATTGCCATTTTGGCCAATTTAGGCAATTAACGCGCGATGTATTTCACGCTATTAACGCGTAAGCGGAGATTTAGTCAGTCTTAGAATTCGCTCCAAATTGGTTGAAGGAAGCTTATTCGCCCTAAATGAAATGTTACAAGGAGCGAAGTTTATCACTTTGAACTTCATATGGCGTGTGGGGATAATTTTCACAAAAAAAAATCTTTAAAAAAAAATACTATTTGTTTTATTTTTAATACAATTAATTTTCTCATGCTATTACTGCTCGATAGACCTTAAAAGGCAGTCGCAACATTCATTCAGGGCTTTTGAATGTTTTCATTCAAAAAATTCATGCATTCTGCTTGTACTCAAGATTTGCTCTCCTTGGTACAAGCAGACTTGTTTCTAAATGTTCTTTTTTCGAAGCTACAAACTGAATATTCCTAGGTCTCACGATACTGTAAATGCAACCCGAACTCACTGAAACAATCTGCAAATCGTAAATCGGTATGTCAAGAATAGCCGGTTCAGCAATTGGCTGGCTCTGGCCTCAGTTATCTGTGCCTACAGAGATGGATTTTTCACTATTTTCTTATTTCTGCTGTTTTTAGAAGAGGCGGCTAGGAGTTGACGTTAATTCAGGGATCATGGCTCACGAAAAACCAAGAGAAACAAAATTTTTCTGTCTTTTAAAGAATTAGGTGTCGCTCTTTACATTAATCTGAAAAGCGTTTTTGGTTTTTATTGTTCATTGCTGCTCGAAATACGACTGAAAAGGGTTGATTATGATATATTTGATGTGTGTACTATCTGACGTTTGCGGTAACAGAAAGTTTCCTTATAGTTTGAAGGATCTACAAAAATATATATATTTTTCGGTTTAATAGGTTTATAAAAGTTGTTTTTGCTTCATTTCAATGTTCCGATTTTGGAAAAAGTGACGAAATATTAGTGCACTTCAAATTCGACTTTTTGAAGTGCCTTTTTGAGATTTTTTTTACGATTCAAAAAGTATTGTTGTCTTGAGCTCGAATTAAAAAAAATTTCATCTGTGACTATTTTTGTAAAATTTATAGGGTTTTAAAAGTTGTCAATTTGGCCAATTTGCGACACTTAAAGCGAAATATATTTTATGATTTCAACTCGTAAGCGGAGATTAATCCATCTTAGACATCGTTCCAAATTGAATTGAGGTATGCTATTTGGTGTATTTAATTTTTTGCTATATGCAAAACATATAATTTTATACTTTACACGGTGTATGGGGGGGTTGATTTCAAAAAGAGTTTCAAAAAACAATAACTTTTTGATTTAATTTTGAAATTATTATCCAATGTTTTTCAGGTGAGCAATACTCAATAGACCTTAAATGCCAGTAGGAACATTGAGTGCTGCGCCCTGATACGAGCAGTCTTAAATTTCCTTTTCTTTGGACACCTTCACAGCATTCCTAAACGCATTTGATTTTTACTAAACACACTTTTGAAACAAATCGGGAAACACTGTACAAAATACCCAGGATGAAAGCTACTGCTACATCTTATGCCTAATGGACATGAAATATACTGGTCCAGACGGAGCAATCCATAAGTTATAAATTTTTGCCCGTGTTGTGAAAACATAATAAAACAAGGATAGCAGGTTGCAGTACCATTAGCACAGAATGTTCCGATACAATAATGCAAGGGAAAAAATTCGTGCATTTAACCGCCCAGAATCCGAATTTCCATATCTTGAACTGAAAATAATGTAGCTTGAATTTGAAATTAACGTTAGTATTAATGTTAGTTTGAAACTGAAATTAATGTTAGTATTAGCAAAAATGACCAAAAAAAATATTTTAAAAGTTTGTGTTGCGTTGACACCATTTTCTGATATTTGCTTTAGTTAATCAAATTTGGACTGAATTATTTTGAAAGCCGAAAACATTCAAATTAAGTTTTCTCGTCACTGAGGGACACTTTTCAATTTTTCCAGGAAATAATTGAATATTAATTAAAAGGAACAACATTTAACATTTGACTGGAACCACATTTGACTCCCTACAAGTTTTTCTTGAGGTAGTCAAAATTGGTATGAAAAAAACCGACCGGCACCAAAAGTTCGGGACAAATATTAGCAAAATTGATTATAAAGAAAAATGAGCAAATTTAGCCGATAAATTGAAAACTGAAGAAAAAACGAAAAAATTGCTTTGTAAAATGATCAGTAAAATGAATATTGCCGTATCTAGTTCCACCATAACTTTAGATATAATTGAAAGTTGTTAATTATAGGTTGAAATTTGGTATTGTTTTAGTCATAAACTCAAGCAAAATTCAAAATCCTCTGTAGATTACGTGGGTTCATCTTCACGTTAAATTATCTCAGTCAATCCAGTTTAGGACCAGGGTAATCATAGTACCTACGAGTGTCAACTTCCGATGCAAGTCTGAACATATTCCCAAAAAAATCTGAAGATAGCTGCAAAAGCCGAAATTTATTTACTTGATCGAAAAACTGGGCAAAAAAATTTTGTAGCTGGGTTACAACTCCACCAACATTTTGAACATGGCTGCGCAAAAAATCTAAATCTTTGACAAAAAATCCATGATGAGAGAGTAACTGATATATCAACTTACGCTAAAAAATTAAAAAGACCACTTTTTAGAACCGGTTAAAAAATTTTGAACAATTCTTTTAGCCATTCAAAAACAGGCTCTCTGTTTGATTGTCCAAGATGAAAACATAAGTTTCAAACTTGAACTTTATAAAAATCAGTGGTAATTCAGTTCAACCATTCAAACTTCTAACCATTAGACTTGTTAATTTTACTCCACTTGGTCTAAGTGTCTTTTAGCCCTGAACATTCCATCAAAGTGGTGCAAAACGTCCACAGTCTGACCGCGTTGTGCAAATGAGAAGTCAAATGCGATGATGATTGCTTTGATTGATTTATTGTGGCGGTAAACTGAAAAGTCAAAACTCCAGAAAACCCAGCAACTATTGAAACTTTGATTCTTTGACATACAATTGCTCGACTTGTACCTTTTTCCTCTTTATTGAAATAGATAGAAAATCTGATCAAACAAAAAAAGGAACCCCGTTCGGTAAACTCATTAAAATTCGAATTTTGATACTCAATGTACCTGATTGGTACTAAAAAAGTGCACAGAACAATTAGGAATAATAGGCTACCAGCTTGGTATTATAAAAGGATAATAGGGCATCAGTTACACCTGCACTAAGGGTAATTGTTTTTAGTGCAGTCGTAACCTTATTAGTAAGACTCCTTATATTTGACTCCCTACAAGTTTTTCTTGAGGTAGTCAAAATTGGTATGAAAAAAACCGACCGGAACCAAAAGTTCTTACCACTCTTCGAGTTATCGGGACAAATAATAGCGAAATTGATTATAAAGAAAAATGGGCAAATTTAGCCGATAAATTGAAAACTGAAGAAAAAACGAAAAATTTGTTTTGTAAAATGGTCAATAAAATGAAGTTTGCCGTATCTAGTTCCCCCATAAACTTAGATATAATTGAAAAGTGTTAATTATAGGTTGAAATTTGGTATTGTTTTAGTCATAAACTCAAGCAAAATTCAAAATCTGTAGATTACGTGGGTTTATCTTCACGTTAAATTATCTCAGTCAATTCAGTTTAGGACCAGGGTAATCATAGTGCCTACGAGTGTCAACTTCCGATGCAAGTCTGATCATATTCCCAAAGAAAATCTGAACATAGCTGAGAAAGCCGAAATTTATTTACTTGATCGAAGAACTGGGCAAAAAATTTTTGCAGCTGGGTTACAACTCCACCAACATTTTGAACATGGCTGCGCAAAAAATCTAAATCTTTGACAAAAAATCCATGATGAGAGAGTAACTGATATATCAACTTACGCTAAAAAATTAAA